CTTCTTCCCGCCGCCCGGGAACCCTGTCCTGTCCTGCCCCGTCCCGCTCGCCCCGCCCGCCCCGGCGGCAGCCCTGGACGGACGGCCGGGGCTCCCCCGCCCGCTCCGCACCTGGGGCCGCCGGGGCGCGCACGGCTCGCGCGGGGGGGCGGGGCCAGCCCTCAAAGGGACACGCACCGCGGCCCCTAAAGGGCAGAGTCCCGGGGGCTGCACCGCGCGGGGGCCGCCCGTGTCGCCGCCCGTGTCACCGCCCGTGTCGCCGCCCGTGTCACCGCCCGTGTCGCCGCCGCCACGGGCACCGGCCCCAGGCCGCTGGACCCCGCCCGACCCCGCCCCATCCTGACCCACCCTGCTCCCGCAGCTGCCGGGCCGGTTACCGAGGGATGTGCCCCTCGCTCCGCGCCGCCGCTGGAGCGAAGCAATGTGTGTATGTATATGGTATGCACCCTGCACATCTCCCTGAATATATATATATATAAATATTTACATATACGTATATATTTATATGTGTATATATTTATATGTACGTATATTTATATATACATATGTTTGCAAATACAACGAGATGTATATGGTATGTATAGCTGAGGTATGTATATGTATATATATATGTGAGGTATGTGTATGGCATGATTATCTGAGATATGTATGTATATGTAAATGCAAGATATATATGTGGTATGTACCGTATTCATCTCCTTGTATTTGCAAATATATGTAAAAGTATACATATATTCAAATGAGATGGATATGGTACATACATGTATATATTTGTATGTATACGTAAATGAGCATATACTGTATTAGAACACGCTCATCCGGCTGACGGACTAATATTTTATAGTTTGCTCTGGGATCAATTGAATGTTGCAGCTGGCAGACACAGGTCAAAAGTGCCTGCATTTGACTGAAAAGTATGTGATGGCTTCAGATAAGCCATAGAAACGTCAACTCCTTCACAGCCTTGATCCTTCTACAGACGTGATTCCAAAGGAGGGTCAAACCACCTGGAAAATCAGAGGTCATTTGTTTATAGTGTCTAAAAGAATGGGAAAAGCACAAGGAGGGGTTTGCGTGATGTGTACTGCCTCCCGTGACAACAGGGTACTGGAAATAAATTGTTTACAGAACCAAATCCCCTCTTCTCCTTTTCAAAGGCATATGCTCCTCTGCAGGGTCCCCTCCAGATTTGCCAGGTGTGGTTCATCTGTCCAAACACTGACATCTGGTGCTGGCTAAGACACAATTCTTTGGCAGTAGGCCTCCTTGACTGCTCTGCTTACAGCTTTGAAACACATGTGACGTCCACAGCTGGTTCTGTGCTAGCAAGCAGTAAGGCTCAGCGGGAGCAGATCTTTAAAGTTGTAAGAGCTGGGGCTGAAAATACAACATTCACATGAAACAGGTTTGGGGGAGTGTCTCCTATGTACAGCACACTAGCTTAGCACCACCTAAAAGGAATCCCGTTTGCACACTGAGACTGTTTTGCAGCACAAACCTAAGCCCAGCAAGCTGGGGTTACTGGAAGATTCATTTTGGAAGCACACATCAGACACCCATTGGGGCACTGCTGTGGAAGCACCCTACATCTGGCAGGTAGCTGCATTAAAGTGGTGACACCTGAAAAGCCGTTTACATAACTACTCTTACACATGGAGACCAACTTGCACACACGATATAACACAGGCACAATACATTCCACTCTTCCAGATGTCTGCCGTAAGGTCTGCCCTTCCTGTGAGTTGTAGTCGTCCTAGGACTGTGAGTGCACTAACCCAACCCTTCTAGAATGAACCCCCCGGAAGGACAAAACAAGGCTCGCCCACTATTACCAACTGGCAATCCTACATACACTCAACTGCTCTTGCAGTTGAAGAGAGAGGGGTGGAGGAGGCTTTGGGGAGAATCCTAAATTACTTTCTAGAAGAAATGGTGGGCAGTGCTGCTCCTAGGTAAAACCAATAGACTATACAAAGACATGGAGAGCAGGAGAATGAGTATTGAGACAAGGTGTGGACCTAAATAACAAAGCCATCACAGACTGAGCAGTGAAGAAGTCAAGATGAAGCAGTTCTAATTTATAAACATTTGTAACAAGGTCTTGGGGTATGCCTATGACACCAGCTTATGATACCAGTCCAGCCTGGCTTAGTGGTCCAGGACAGGGACTTGGAAAGACTGTCCTGTAAAAAAAGACCCCACAGCCTCCCTTCTGTGAGCAGCAAGGCTGAGCAGCAAAACAGCCCCACAGAGAATACACCCAGGGTCATCGCTGCTGCCTGCAGGGACAAGAAACACTAAAGAAAAATGGGAAGACAGGGTTTTTTCTGTTTCTTGACTACCTTCAGGCTCACCAAGAGTCTTGTAAAGCAATGCTCGTTGTTGAACCAGTTCCAACAATAAGCAATCCTTTGGTCTAGTGAAAATGTTGTGGTATCATTTGCACCAAGCTGAAGACAGCCTGTAGTGTTGGAGGCCTTCAGAAAACATCTTCTATGACTCATTCATAGTTTACCATTGCTTAAGAGTGAGGCACAGGTGCCTCTCCATCTGAAGGTACAGAGAGAAACCTTGCAGAGCAAGACTTTCTAGGTGTTAGATCGAGAGCAGAGGTGAAAAAAGGAAAAGTTGGATGGCCTCACATATCCCTTATAGTCCCAAAAGAATGTGATGATACTGAAAGGGCCAGAAGTGGCAATGGTGGCAAAGCATCCAGGACAAACGCAGCTATAGCTCATGGTGCATTTGTCCTGCTGAAGCCACAACTATTTCTGTTCAGAGACAGAAAACAGTCAATAGGAAAAGAAGCAAAATAAATGGACCCTTGCATGTGAAGTATAAATAATTTGGCAGTAAGAAGTGAAATATTAGGGGCCGTCAATAACTCCTGGAGATGTGAGAGAAGCAAACTGTACAGCTCCTGAAAAGGCTGTTCCAGGCTCTGCATTCTTCAGTCAGTCTGAGTTTGATGGTACCCAATACTATGCTGAATTTCCTGGACCTGATGGGGACCAGTTCAGGTTTCTGCCTAGCTATTCCCCATCCTAACTTTGTGAAATTCATTATTCCTTTCCAAGTACAGAACTTTGCACATGCTTTTATTAAATGGTGTTCTAGCCTTTCAGGCTACTTCTCCCATTGATCAAGATAATTTGAATAAGAATTTTCTCTACCAAATACATTGCAAACTCTCTCAGGTTAGTGTTGTCTGCAAATTTAATAGGCACACTTTCTAGTCCACTCTATAAATAACTGAAAAAACTTAATAGCACACTGAAAAAAGATCTCTGCAGGACTCCTTCTTGATATTTTTCTCTAAATAGACAGCATAGCTTTAAAATCTAATCTTAGAATTTTCTAATCAGCATCAGACTCTCCTAACACTGATTTCAGTAGATCAGTTTCCCATGTTTCCTAACACGTTATACTTTCAGATGAAACAGAATAAAAACCCCTACTGAAGTCAAAATGTTTCACATCTATTGTTACTTCTTTACCCAAAAGGCCTGTTAGTCTGCCATGAGAGATTCGTTTGACTTGGTTTCTTTTTCAGGCAAATGTAAAATGTGAGTGGACTATTTAATGCTTATTTGTTCCAGTATCACAGGGGAAGGCAGTAAAGCAATGCTGGCTGGACAATAATTAATCAGATATTATTATTACTATTGTTATTGTTGTTGTTATTTAATAGCCAATATATTTGGCCTTTTCTAGTTTTCTGAATCTCTTCATTATCTAGATATCTCAAAGATAACTGCCAGTGAGCCTAATGTTGCTTGAGCCAGTTCTCCAACCATCACAGAATGAAGCTCATCAAGCCTAACTGGTCTGAAAACATTGACTTTGCAAAAGTGTTTAGAAATCTAGAATGACTTTTCCCCAACTAGCAATCAGTGCTATTTAAGATACTCACCTAGCCACCATCACAATGAAGACAAGTGAAAAATACTTGCAACTTCTTGGTATCTTTGACCAATTTCTGATTTTGCTGATGAGAAAGCCAGTCTTTTACTGGTCTTCCCCTCATTGCCCATGTAGTGACGGGCACTATTGATGAGCTGATAGTTCTGCTCTTGTCCATAAGGTACTTATTTTCTTTTTGAAGTATCTTTGTACTTAAGTGGAGTCAGTTGCTGTATCTCCCTCAGTTCTTTGTTCTCTAGACTAAACGCTGCATTTTTTTGCAATCCTCCTGCTTAGATGGCTCACGCAGTTATTCCCTCTGTGGGTTCGCTTCCCCATATTTGCCTGTGTTGTAGCAGCATGTGTCCAAACTGGACACTCAGTCCTGTGTCACTTGGTGCTGTGAGTGAAGTCACAGCAGTGCAGAGCTGATCTGACAGCTTGTTTCATCTGACCTACAGGCTATCCTTCCAAACACATAAACTGATATGATGTGTGCCGTTTTGGCAACAGCATGATGTTGATGTACTTTCTGCTTTTCGTAAGGAAGATGATGAACTCTGACACCCTCTGAAACTGTGCATTTGCAAAAGCAACAGAGGATCTTTTGGTCCTGAATATTCCCTATTTTTGACACACAGACCCTTCAGACTTCAAAATCATGGGTCTAACTTGGATGGGTTTTTTTGTCTGGAGAGCACTGGTCTATTTTCATATGAACCCAAACATCCAAGGAAGCATCTGTGGGTCCCGTGAGCGACGATGGGAGTCAGGGAGGACTTGGCTTTGCTCCTGGACCCATCACTTTTCTGTGGACGAAAAAAAAAAATAGTTTGCCAACTCTGCCTTGGCTCCTCTACTTGCAAAACAAATACGAGTTTGTTTGGGGTTGGGGGTGGGGGTGGGTGTGCGTGGGGATGTCGTTCTATTTTATATATATATATATATATATATATATATATATTTTATGGAAGAGCTTGAGAGGCCGGGCAAAACAAGCTGTGTGAATTAGCACCCTAAAATCTTTTAAGGAAGGAAACCCTACTCACCCAGCGCCCCGGCCGCCCCTCCCGCGGGCTCCTCCCGCGCCCGGCCCGGAGCCAATGCGGGGCTGCGGGCGGGCCCGGCGGGGGCCCGGGGCGGCGGCGGGCGGGCAGAGGGAGCGGAGCCATGGCCCAGCACAGCACGCTGCTCCACCTGCTCGCCGGAGGGTGAGTGGCCCCGGGACGCGCGGCCGGCGGGCCCTGGGCTTTGCTGCGGGGAGGAGCCGCGGGAGAGGAGCCCCCGCGCTGCCCCTGCCCCGCGATCCTCGCCCGCGCCGTCCTGGCCGCGCCGGGCTCGCTCGGTGCCCTGGAGCAGCCGCGCAGCTCCAGGCGTGAATGTCTGGCTCTGCAGTTTGGAAAGAAGGGGAGACTCCCTGCCGGACGTGGAGTTTCGTCCAGCCTGAGCTTGCCGGGGATGGGGGGCAAGGGAAGCGGGGAGATGAACGGGGGATGGGAGGATGAGAGGCGCCACGAGGCCTCTCTAGCGGAGCAAATGGTGGAGCATCCATGTCTTTGGGAGGGCAGCCAGCTCTCCAGCATCGCATGGCTGGCATTCCTGTGTGTCTTTTCTGGCTTTAAATAGTGCGGCTGATTCTGGTGAGTCAGGTGGTTGGATCCCAGCGGTGCCTCTCTGAATTAGAAGCGTGCCCTTGAGCAAGTCCCTTCTCACGTGGCGTTTCGCCCTTTCTCTCTTTAAAGTCTCAAAACAAAGAGTTTCAAGTTTATGATGCCCTAAAGCAGAAGATAACTGTGGTCCTCTGGGCTTTGCTGAGTAACTGCAGAAGTCCCTCGCTTAGGCAGCCACCTAATGCCTTTTCAAATCCCACAAGCCCGCCGGAGTCCGTGTGACAGTGAAACCTGTGATACACCACGTGCAATAACGCACGATTATTTAATTGTTCTTAATTAGCAAATTTTCAGTTTTCTGCAGCTAATGCAGTTGTTATGCTATGGTAATCTTTGTTTATATATACTTACCCTCTTTGTTCCCAGTGTTATTTTGTATATGTTATTCTCTTTTATTAATTTATCCTTTGAACTATATAGTCACTGCATCTAAGCCTGACTTATATTCTCAATATATTCTTCTTTCTTAGCTTTCTTCTTAAGCCTTTCCTCATCCTCATTTTCCACCTTGGTTACTGAAAAACCAAGACAGTTTGGGTAGTGACAAGAATGTCACTAGTGGAACTCTGTCAGTCTGTATCCCGTTCTCTTCCATTAAGCAATAATCCTTGAATTACAATTAATTAAAACCCAAGGGATAATAAAGTAAGAAATGAACGAGAAGTTCATCTTATTGCTGCCATATGTAGTTAATATTATTGTTTTACTTAATGACACAGGATCTCATTCACAAGGAACAGTTGGTCCCCTTCTGGTGCGAGAACTGGGGACCATCAAATGAAACTTGTGAGAGGTTTGTTCAAAACTAATGAAAGAACATCATTCTTAACATAGCATGTGGCTAAACTGTGGAACTCCTAGCCATGGGATAGTAGGGGCTAAAGGATTTTTGTGTCCAGAAAGCATTTTAAAAAGATGAATGAAAAAGGATGTGTTGAAGGCTATTAAAAGCAAAGCAACATTTCTGCCTGAGGATATCCCTGAATTGAAAATTGCAGGAAGCTAGGAAAAGTATTTCTCCTGCTCTTCTCTAGGTGACCTTTATTTGCCCGTGTCCTAGGCAGAAGCCTGGTTTAACTATAGAGTTGTGTGACCTAGCATTGTTATTTTTAAATTAAGATCTTCAAGCCATCTCAATTTTTGGATAGCCTAAGTAAGAGCTAAACTTAGAATTACAAGTAAACCTTGTCACCTCTGTGCATGTGCTTAGACACTTTCCAGATCCAGAAAAAATGTTGATGGTGTTTTTTTGTATTTCTCAAATAATCTTCTTTTTCTGTCACCTCAGACTTTCCAGTTTTCCTTTTAAAATGTGAAAGGAAGATCTAAAGCAAGTACCATTTTCTAAGATAAAATTACCTGCCTACTTCAATTAGCTCTTTTTGCCGCTGCTTTGCTCTGAGAGTACGAGTTGTACTGGTTGTCAACTGCTGCTCTTCGTCATATTTTGCAGGAATTGCTTTTGTTCCTGCTTCTAGAGCAATGACACATAATTTTCCATTTCTCCTGAAACAGAAGAATTTTACAGACCTATGCCTTTCATACACTGTGAGCAGCTGTATCATCATGTAGTTCATGGTAAGACAACATAGCTGAGATTTCTTCTAGTTTTGGTACACCTTATTTCCTTAGCTTTGAATGTTCTGTGCTTCACTTTAGTCTTGCCATTGAGCCATAGTGGCTCAGAGGTCCCCATTCACCTTGAACTCTCTTACTGCTGATTAAATTACCACTATGCTAAGGAGTAACAATGTTTTAAACTCTTATTATTGCTTTCATAATTCTTCTCTATTAGCTAACTATATGTATCAGTAGCTTGAGGAACTAAGGAAACTTTTATATATTCTGGAAGTGTGGGTTTAAACTCATACCCTGATCATCACAGGTAGGGACTTCTTGAAGAAATGAGATGTTAGAAGAACTAGAAGAACATTACATAGAGTTGTGCCTTCTTATGGACTGTTAGAGAGAAGAACTTTAATATACCAAGTAATTGCTTCTCTAAATGTTGTCCTGTTGTAGTGTTTGCTCAGCTTTTAGATAAAAAGTTGAAACTGCTCTATTCAGACCTCTTAGACATCTTAATCTGTCACCAGTGTACTCAATCTTCTCCTGAACTGGAAACCACACTTCTGATCAAGAAAACAACAGGCATGTAAGTCTGGAGCCTGTACCAGACAAATCAGTGGAAACTATGGTAAATAACAGGACTGTTGGGCCCCTGAGTGAGGGGGAAGAATCAACATGACTTTTGTGAAAGGAGACCTTGCCTCATGCAACTCTTGGATTGCTATGTAGGCTGTGTCTCAGGGTCTGTGCTTGATCAGCTTGTTCATTCTGAGAATCTAAGCCAGAATGTTTACTGCTCTGCTTTGTGTTGTCTTCTGAACTGGAGTTAAATTCTTGGGTCATATTCCCAGACTCCCTCCACTCATCATATCTCCTGAGGGAAATTGCTGCTGATCAGCTGCTCTGTAATTCATCACCACTGCATAGGCCTGCCAAGGGCTTGACAAAGCAGCGTGAGTGTTCTGGAATAGCATACTAGTTGCTGGCATCATTATCTGCATAATATTCTAGTTGCCAGATCTTCAGCTCTTGGATATCATTGTAATAGCCATCCAGGCATCTTTTTTTTTTTTTCCCCCCTTCCTAACCTGTAGGCAATAATAAATGAAGCCGTAGGAGCAAAGCCTGGGAGAACAATGTGTATGTGTGCTGAGCTGTATAGACTTTTTCAAAATAATTCTTCAGAACTCTAGCCATTTGCTGTCCTGTATGGTCACATGTAATTCAGTTGATATACCTGACTCTTCCCAGATATCTTGTAGTTCTTTGGTTGGCTTTTCTTTCTTTCTTTGGAGCACAGTAAGCTTTTTTTTTTTTTAAGCCTCCATCTCTTGTGAAACAAAGCAGCTTTGGCTGTAGCCCATGTGAACAATCATCCATTTGTCAAAGCTTCTTGCATGCCTGTTACATGCAAATTCATCTCAAAGTGGTCTTTCGGGTACTGAGCATCCTGTAGAAAAACTTCTTCTAGAGCAGAGTCAAAGGATCTGAAGGCGCAGAAACCAAGAACCAACAGTTCTGACTTGTCCCTAGGTGGTAGAAAGGGAAAAAGGGAATATGTGTCCTTCCAGCTTTCCTGCAGTGTGACTAGACTGATTGATGGTGATGGCTCACGAGTTCCAAAAATAACTTCTGTCTGCTGAAGGTCAGGGTCCTCGGTCATTAAGCAAGTCAGGCTTGGGATGAGCCTGGCTACTGGCAGAAAATACAGATCTTGCTTACAGGGCCTTGGAAATTTGGGAATGGGAATGGGTTATGAGTTGAAGATATGTTTAGGCTGAGGGGTGGGAGAGTTTTGTGCTGCCCTACTCTGAGCCAGTATGGCTGTGGAGAGGTGTGAGGCATGGTGCCTGGTGATCGCAGCAGAAAGCATTGCTGTGAGGTTGGGCAGCAGAAATATTTTCTCTAGGGGGCTACTGAGTCCCTATGGACTTGGGTCTGTTTGTCTCAAATACTGAGTAAGGTTTCAAAGTGAGGCTGCCAAGCTCAGCTGTCATTACGTTAATCAGTGTCAGAGCAGGAGGTCACGTGTGACGCAGGCTGGGGTACCTAGCCTACCTCCTCTTCTAGAGGGGAGAAGTTGTGGACAAGCAGGGTCAGAATTATTGCCCTGTTATGGCACGGAAGTCATTCTTAAGTGTGGTGTTATGCCCTAGGTGTGGTGGCACAGCTGGAGCCATCCTGACCTGTCCCCTGGAGGTGGTGAAGACACGTTTACAGTCATCCCAGCTGGCACTGAGGCCTCTGTGCCTCTCAGAGGTACAGGTGGCAGGGATGAGCCTGAGGATGATGAATCCCGCCACACCATCTCCTGGAGTGCTCAAGTTGCTGAGGTGAGTAGGATGGAGCAATGTGCATGTTAGCACCAGGGAGGTGAGGGTTGGCCATCAGCTGAAGCGGTTGAGGCGGGGAGAGAGAGAAAGAAATGGAAGTAGCATTTGAGCTGAGGCTCTGGATACTGCGAGTGTGATAGAAGGTTTCATGAGAGCACAGGTACATCTGCTTCTCACCATTGATCTGTGCTTTGAACTCTTGAGTCCACAAGGCAGCTTTGGAGACTTTGGAGAAATTTCTGAGCTATTGGTTTGATCAGACCTGGAAGGATGGTGTCAGCAAGAGGAGGAAGAAATGACTGCTGAAAGGTGTCCCTGCCCATGAAGGGGGTGGGGGTTGGAACTAGATGTTCTTTAAGGTCCCTTCCAACCCAAACCATTTTATGATTCTATGACTGAAGGAGAGGGAAGTGGTTGGAGAGAAAATGAGAGCAGGGCGGAAAAAGGATAACATGGGAGGTGAGGAGAGGATGCTACAAGAAATTCTGAAAAATGAAGAAGGAGGAGAAACAGGAGAGCCCCCAGCTTAGTTATTGTGCTGATTTTTCTGTTCATTTCCTTCTGTAGGGCCATCCTTGAGAAGGAAGGCCTGCGATCCCTGTTCCGAGGTCTGGGTCCAAACCTTGCTGGAGTTGCTCCTTCCCGGTGAGTACTGGTCCATGACAATGGCTCAGGTTGTATGGTTTTTAAGGGGCCTCTGTGATAGCTGTTGCTCCACATTCTGAAAGCAATCTGAGTCTTGTGCTCATGTGCCACAAGACCCCTTCACACAAATGTTTTCTGGAGCTTCAGATCATAGTATTAAGATGATTGCTGTGGGCCTGGATTAAATGGTATCTGATGTCACAAAACAAACCTGATAAACCTGTGCTGGGACTAGGAAAAGTTGGAGTGAGACCCACAGCAGTGTCTCTGCTCTTCATACAGGAGCTATAAACTCTTCTGTATTTCTTTCCAACCAGGGCTATATATTTTGCTGCCTATTCTGGTACTAAGGAGAGGCTCAATGCTGTCCTTGTACCTGAGTCCAAGAAGGTACACATACTAGCAGCAGCCTGTGCAGGTGAGCCTTTTCTGTCTCAAATCAGAGCCAAGGGGTCCTTCGATCTCTTAAGTGTCAACAGGTTTCGTTCCTTCTCTTTTGCTGCTCCCATCAGTCCTGCTCTCTCTCTCTGAGGTTTTCTCCCTCCACACCTGGAGAAGTGAGTTCGGGTAACCAAAGTGTTTTCTCACTCTTCATTCTTCTTAGGCTCACCTCTTCAAACTCTTTATCCCTTCAGCTGCTATCAGAGCTTTATTCAGCTGTGAGAGGGAGAAGAAGGCAGTGTGTAATTTAGACCACTCACAGAATCTTTCTCTTGATATATCCCAGTTTTCTAACAAAATCCTCCACTCCTGCAAAATTAGCCTGCTGCTTCCTGCCTCTTTGTAGCACCAGGGCCTGTAGTAGGGTTTTTTTGGAGGCTAATTACCACCAGACAACGGCTGGAAGAGGGGAGGAGGAGAATCAAGTAGCCTGCCCTAAATATCTCTTCTCAAGGTCATTCTCAAATTGCAAATGCCTGCAGCTTGCCAAGCAGAGTTCAGAAGCCGATAGATCAGCACCTCTTCACAAAATGTCAACGTGATCCCAGTTCTCATGCCTGTCATCTTCTCTTCTCTAGGCGTGAGCTCGGCCACACTCACCAACCCTATTTGGTTAGTGAAAACCAGGATGCAGCTGGAAGCCAGGTAAGGCAGGCCAGCAACGCAGAGCCACTCCGTGTCACATCATGACTAGTTTGGAGGTGGAGTTGGGTAGGGAGCGATCTGTGACTTGCCATGAGAACATGGCAAGTCACAGACTGGGGAAGAGCCTTACGGTGGTGTTCACAACAGCATTTTAGGTCAGAGGAGCAGTGTGACTTTCTAACCCTCTCTCCTCTTGGCAGGGCGAAGGGGGAGTTGGCCAGCAATGCTCTCCAGTGTGCCATGCGCGTGTACCGCACTGAAGGCCTTCGTGGATTTTACCGTGGTGTCACCGCCTCCTACGCTGGAGTGTCAGAGACCATCATACACTTTGTCATCTATGAAGCACTGAAACAGGAGCTGAGAAACAGCCATCATTCCCATTCCCCACCACTCACACCTTCACCAAACAACCATGATTTCTTGGGACTAATGGGTGCTGCTGCTGTCTCCAAAACATGTGCTACGTGCATTGCATATCCACATGGTGAGTGGGTAGTGGTCCCCTCTCCTTAATTCTGTTACCCTTGATGGGAGGTGCCGTGTCTGTAGGATCCATCTGCTAATATATCACTTCCCTTCCTGTCTCTCCAGAGGTCCTTCGGACACGGTTGCGGGAAGAAGGGTCACGATACCGTTCTTTGATACAGACTCTGCAGCTTGTGGTCCATGAAGAGGGACCCTCGGCTTTATACCGAGGGCTCCTGGCTCACTTGATCCGCCAGATCCCAAACGCAGCCATCATGATGGCTACCTATGAAGTCATCGTACATTTTGCCTCTTCCACCTTGTAAGCATGCTGTAGCTCCTGGCTGAGGCTGCTGTAGGGGTACAGGGACCTCGTGGTCCTGAGACTTGGTCTTCCTCAGTGCACTGAGAGGTGGTGGTTTTGGTCGCAGATCAGAACACGTCAGGCATTCTCAGGATGTAAGACTATTTTGTGCCAAGTTTTTTGCTCCAGTGTGCACAATGTAGCCTTTTTTCTTTCTGGAGACTTGAATTATTCCAGTGCATCAAGGTGTCAGGGCACTGGTTTGACAGTGCCTGTTGTAATTTCCCTGAATGAAACAAGGGTGTGGAACTTACTGGGAAAGAGAAAAAGCAGAAAGCATAAAAGTGTCTTAGCCTCAGCATGTTCGCTTGTTTTGGACCCAGTAACAACCATGCATGGGTACAGTTGGGCATGAGGACAGGCTAGAGCTGAGACATTTGAGAACTGCAGCAAGCAGAGATCTTGTGCTGCAACCTTTCATGCCCTCAGAGGGGCTCTTCCACTTTCACCTACTGTGCTGCCTTCTTGCTCTTCAGGAGGATTTCTCAAACAACACGTTCTTTGCCCCAACACGTGTCAGGCAGCTGACAGCCTGCTTTTGTCTTGCAAGGTCTGAAAAACCACACCAAGTATATCAAGGGAAGAAACACAACCTGCTATGAAGCACTACCCTAAAAACCCATGCTACTGCTGGGCTCAGAGTCATGCTTTCCCAGTATCTGATGTGTTCCCATTCCCACCCTTCTCAGCAGAAAGAGGAGGGCACCTCCTTCCCTCAGAAGTGCTCTGTTACACTCTGTTATGCTCTGTTCCAGCTGTTATACAAGCTGGAACCCCTGATATGAAAAAACACTTTTTGATGCTGGTGAAAAAAGCAGATCAGGTGAGAAGATGGATGAAGCTAAGGAGATTTGGCCTGTTTCTATTGATGATACACTTAAGTGTATGGCAAGAGCCTTATTTATTTTTTTCTATAATCAGGAATTTAGTTTCCTTCGTGTGTTACATTTGCCTGTGACAGGCTTGGATGCCTTCTGTTCCTCTGTGGGTTCCTAGCCCTGTGTCCTGGGGAAGGCTACGTTGTGTTTACAAAGAGTATTTTGAATCTCAAAAAGGCAGAGGGTACAGTCAGGCCTGATGTGTTTTTCTTGTTTCATCACATATGCTAAAAAATGTAACCCTTCCCCCAGATAAGTGATTTCAGTAAATGCACGCTCTGGACAACCTCCAGTCTCACATTAGAGGCTACACTATTTCTTTCCCTTCTTGTAGTGAAAAACTGAAGAAGCCCTGAATATTTTATTTGAAATCCATTTATTTTAAAATCCACTTTGTTTCCTCATCTTTCTTATCTTCATTCCTTTAGTTTAGGAGTATTGACAATTTTACAAAGCGACACAAGCTGCAGTGGTTTGTTGGTTGTTTTTTTTCTTTTTTTTTGCATGAAACGAGAATAAACCTCAAATGACAACATTGAAAAAATATACAATATATATATATATAATATCTGGGTAGGGGTTGTGAGAGACCCCGCTCTGAGCCCTATGGCTGGCTCTGCCTTTCAGATTTCTGTTCTTTGCAACATCTGGATCACAGTTTGAACCCTGCCACAATCACGTGTAAGTGCCCTAACACGTGTTTCTAGAGAGCCAGATGGGGGGTCATTAATGTGGGGAATGTCCACAATGGGAATGGCAGAAGATGAAGGAACACGGGAGGCAGAAATGACAAATGAGGGAGGAGCACATGTGTACACAGTGGGGGAAGAAAGAAGTTGAAAGTAAGACACCTCCTCCTTCCAGCCATATGGTTTGGGGGGGGTATCCAGTGGGCTGGTGTTTTAAAGCTCCTAGTAGCGGTGAGGGACGTTGCTTTTGCCGATGATGTGTCGATCATCCACGTCGTTGCTGTCCGGGGAGTCGGGTGTCTCCGAGTCGGTACTGTCCTCGTCGTCCTCCATGCCTTCACCAGCTCTGCCCTCAATGCTTCCTGCTGCCCTCTCCTGACAGCTCTGGTAGGACTGGGGAGGTGAGACATGCGGTAAGTGAAAGGATCTGACAACCGAGCTGCCTGCCCAGCTCCAACCACTGTGGCTGCTCCTCACCTCCATGGGGTTGACGATGATGGTGAGGGCCGAGTCGTCCCAGAACATGTCGCTCTCTTTGCCTCCAGTGCTGGTGTGCCCTGATTCAGCAGCCCCAGGGACCTCTTGCCCCACTCCCCGCTGGTGCAGGGAGTGGATGCGAAGGATGCCAAGGATCACCATAAGTGCCAGGAAGCCCACACACACCACAATGATGACAGTGGCAGCACTGGGGACCACTTAGAAACAAAGTGAGAAGGTACGTTAGAGTCTGTCACAGAAACATGCATTTCTAACCTGACGTGCAGGGGCTGAGATTCCTGGGCAGAGTTTGGGGTTTTGGTCTAGGTAGGAACATGTCCTGACTTTTCTGCTCCCCTAGGCACAGGCAGTTCCTGCCTTCAACTCCTGTGTTTTCTCCTGAGGGTTGCATGGTTTTCCAAGATGTGTAGGTCCAGGCACCCTCTTATAACTGGTCTAGCCTGTAGACTCTGCACATCTTAATCTGCAGAATTCACCAGAATCTCTTGCACAGCAGGTATCTCTATCCCCCTCTTGGGAGGGAGAAATGTGTGCTGAGGAGAGCCTTTAAGGACTTGAGGATGATTTTCAGAGGGTGTTGCTTCTGTTCAAGCAGTAGAGAAAGCAAGAATCCAAAAGATGCCTGCATGGCACACAGGGAAGTTGAGAAGGCTATGATAAATTTCTAGCTAGTGCCATGGTAAATGCCTGGCTTCTCCACAGGATAAAACTTAAAATTTATCCAAGACCCTTAACCCAACTCCCACCTATTTGTTCTAGGCCTGTAGGGCTGAGCCTTAACTCTCCAGATAACCACCTTCTCTGCAAAACCTATCCAGGCACTTCCTGATTTTTATGGCACCATTAACAGCAATGCCAAGTTTTCTGCTGCCATCAGGCAGAGCTGGGAAGAGGAGTGACAAAGGCTGGCACATACATAGGCTGTCCCTGAAGTGCCAGCTGCAGGACTGGACTAGCTTGGAATCAGCTGCTGCAGGAAGCTGCAGCAAAAGATAGTTTAAAGGTGCCTTGTTTGTACCCTACAACTTGGGATCAAAATTTCTGTAAAAAGTCCTGAGCTTTCACAGCCTAAAAGGAACCAATTGGACTGTGTTCATGCTTATGGCACAGAGCTACCAGCACAAACTAACATCTAGTCTAGCTTTCAGGCTTCTCTGTTCTGGGGGCAAGAATCCTCCTCTTGTCTTTGTAGTGCCATTTCCTATATTCTTCTGCCTTGCTGACCACCACATCTCTTTTTTTACAGCAGTGGCAGTCTTGACTCACTTGTCTCTCTCCTGCTGTTGAAGCTTCTTTCTGAAATAATACAAGCATGCACAGCACCTTTACAAGGTGTGTAAATGAAATCATCCAGCTCATGGTTGTTCTTTATAGACCCTCTCAGGTGTAGATTTCAGGCTGCTCTACATCTAGAAAACAGCACACCACAAGAGGAGGATTGTTGCACCGTGCTCTAAAATACAATTTGACACAGACTGCAGTCCATTGGCTAATGACAAGTGGGACAGGACAGTATAATGAGAACCCCATAATGGGTATAGGGAGCCTGAAAGGAATCCTCTGCTATAGGTTCTGCCAGTATATCAGAAAATCAGCATCCTGAGCTAAAGGAATAAACCCAAAAGATAGTGTTACATACTTGGGTTGTTATGGGTGCTTGCCAAACTGTGCCCAGACAGCTCTGGGGGTAAATGATGGCCTCGGTGCACGAATTGCTGGGAACTCAGAATATGGTTAGGATGAGCAGCCCGGTTCATGTTGTGGAGAACATTCACCTGTAGAAAGACCAGAGTGAGAGGACTCAGCCCTGTGTCCATGGTACATTCTACGCTGTGTGCATTCCCATCCACCATGTCCTCTCCATGCCTGCGGATGAACTTATATGTGCATGTATTGGTCTTGTACCTCAACAGTAAACTCATTGCTGGAGTAGCGCCCATTCATCTCAGTGCAGGACAGGTGAAACTTCCTTTCATAAAGAGCAGCACCGTGGTTGATGTGGTATGAGACCTGGCGTAGTATTTCCTCATAAACTGCAATGCTCTCCACACCTGAGACAAGAAGAGAGAATTGGTGTGGGGTTAGGAAGCTCCTGCTTCAAAGTCATCTGGCATCATAACCCTACAGCAACTAGAAGCTATAGAGGAATCCAAGGCAATGCTGGGTTCATTAATTTTAGGAAGGGCTCTGAGATGGAGCTTGCTGCTAAGGACCTAATGAAATCCCTGCTTGCGTTGATAAAACAAGTGGAAGGGAAGGAAGGTCCAAGAGCGAAAGCCCTGTTAAGTTCTGGAGAGCACAACACTGTTGTACCAATCCACAAGTGGTGGGATGTTGTCCCTCAGCCACGTGATGCAAAATGTTGCTGGCACCTGAGAAAACCAAACCCCAAGGAGTAAGTCCAGAGGAGTGATACAAGCCTGGGTGAGCACTCAGACACTATGCCCCAGTACCATGTAGTGGAGGAGAAGCCAGCTCCCCAAGGAAATGGCCTGGGACTCCCAAAAGCCAGGAGTTCATCAAATGGTTACATCTCAGAGTGTCACAAAGTACACCAACGTCACCTCTAACATTAGGTTAAGTGCTCCTCCCAGTGATGGGAGTGAGAGAGACATAACTAGACAGCTGTGACCAAGGAGAGGACGTACCTGTGATGGTCAGGTAGGCAGAGGTGTTAACAAGCTCCAGGCCCCGCTGCTGCAGCAGTGCCCCATCCAGGAGCAGATACTCCCTCTCTGGGTCCAAGTCATCTCCTACCAATGAGATCTCGCAGCCATCCAGGTTGTGCACAATCTCATCTGACATTCGTGTATCTGTCACTGAGATGCAAATGGAAAGAAGACACGACCAGAAAGCCAGACAGCCATCAGTGAAGGCAGGACTTACTCAAGAGTAGTACCCACTTACTTACAAGTGCTCGTATCATACGTAATTACTTCTCCTTGTCTGGCTAGCACTGACCTTGAGTAAAATCACTGTCAGTCTAATTACTTATTGCAGGAGTCCCCCTGGTTCTAATGATATTATTTATGCACATAATAAAGTCACTTTATTTTGGAACAACATACTATTATCAGACTGGTTCATGATAACACACCTTGGCTGTAAGGACTCTGTTGACAATGTGCAAATTGAGAACAATGCTCACACATTCTCAGGCCCTGCATGCTTTTCCCTGTCTCATGACTGCTGGTTACCATAGCTGAGATCTTATCTTCTTTAAAATGGCAATCACATTCAATAATCATCTGCCTTCAGCAGGGCTAAGACCAATCTACTCTAAGTCGAGAAACTCATTGCATGAGGAAAGGCAAAGCTTCTAAACAGAAAACTAGGAGCAAAAAATCCCATTACCAGAAGAGATATGGAAGAAGTGGAAGAACACATAGAGCATAAAGTGCAGAGAAATAATCTGAGGATGATGGAGAGAAATTGAAGAATGAGATATTATAGGGTGTGAGGAAAGTGACTGAGGAATTCACAGAAATAAATTATGCAGGAAGAGAAGGGAGGGGGTAAGAAATAAGGGAAGAAAGCAGAAGAGAAGGAAGTAGGAGAAGACTAAGTGCAGGAGTAGAGAGGGTAACAGGCAGGACATCATCCAGTGCTGGATTCAATAAAGGGAAATGTAGGTAAAATGTAAAAGGGATTAGGAATGAGCAGCCTGGGAAAGAATTAGGAGAGAGTGAGGCGAAGGAACTGAGTGGATAGAAAAAGTACAGGGAGGAGCAGAAAGGGATAAGAGCCGATTAGCCTACATATTGACAATGTGCCTTGCTTCTATATTTGTAAACTCTCTCTTTCAGGTGTAATTATAGGGGCTCTACTTCCTCTGCAGGACCGCAACTCTCATAGGTCTTTACAGTCTGTCTTTTATATCTAGCCCTATACTCACCGGTACCGTGCCAGTTCTCATCCTTCTTGGCCTCCACCTGGTGAGAAATAGAGCAGGTGATCTGGAGGTTGGGGAACAGGGGGATCCCATCAGGAGACTCAAAGTCCGATGCAGGATGAGCAAAGTGGGCACTGCCACTCAGCAGGATCTGGGGGGCATCAGGCTGTAGCACCACAACATAGCCCTCCACATCAGGAATGGAGACACAGGACTCTTCACTGAAACACCTGAAGGAGAGCAGTAGAAAGCATCAGTTCACTCAAGCTGCCACCAACAACATTATGAACAATGCCTCCTGCCAATTACTTCCAGTGAAGGGAATATCCTTTTTCCAGTAGTCTTCCTAAAGCTTCCCTATAGCCTGCTGTGCAAGACAGAGACGTGTGGTAGGAGTGACACCACTGGGTTTCGGGTGGCTTGGTCACATCAACACACCAC